GATGCCAGGCTGTGGCAGCGGGCACCGTGGGCCGCAGCCTCCCTCCCCTCTGAGGCTTGCACTCGGGGTGCCGGGCGCTGTCTTTCGTGCCCCGGCCGGCCGAACCCCATCCTCACGCCATCTCAGCCTCCGGGGCCTCCGCGCCGGGCCCCGAGACGGCCCCCCTGAACCACTACAAGACGGGAAGCGGCGCTGGGGCTCAGGCGGCCGAGCGATCGCCCTGAGCTGAGGGACAGCGCCCGGGCCCAGAGTTCCAACAGCCGATGGAAATAATAATAAAACGCACACCCGGACGAATCCTGGCGCAAGGTCATCAGTGACGTCCCCGTGGGGCTGGCGGGGGGTGTGCTGCTTGTGTTTCCCATGTCAGAGAGACTGGATCCAAACAGGAAACCCGGGCCGGGCATGTGGCTCCGTGGTAGAGTGCTCACGCAGCATGCAGGAAGCCCGGGTTCTATTCCTCAGTACCACAGAAAACAGAGACAAAAGCCCAGAAGTGGCGCTGCGTGGCTCAAGGGGTAGAGCGCCAGCCTGGAGCAAAAGCAGCTCAGGGACAGCGCCCGGGCCCCGAGTTCAAGCCCCAGGACTGGCACCAACAAAAAACAGGAAATATGCACAGACTTGGACTAGGCATTGTTGTTTAATTTCTACAAGATTCCCCTTTCACCTTTTAGAAGTGGAGTTGGTACAAAGGAGGCGTCTGCTGGTGAGCACGAAAGGCTTCTCTACACGTTTTGAAAGAGACCCGGTAGGCAGGAAAACAGGACGTTCACAAAGTCCCCACATTCACCTTCTCTTAAGAATGAGAAGCGCACAGGACAGGACAGCATTTTACTTTCTTTTAAAGAAGTTCAAACTAGAGAGCGACCCCCTTTTGTGAAGAAAACGCCGTTCTCATACTGCACTTTAGGAAACACAAGGTGCGCGCCGCAGCCCGGGTCACGCGCGTGAGCGCTGGCGCACCAGGCGGCAGAGCCCCGCCCCACGCCCCACTGCTCGAGTGCGGGACTCCACGCCGCCTGTCCCCCCCCACGGCCCCACCCTGCCGACCCCACGCTCCAGGTCCCCTGAGCCCCGGACTGGCTCTACGTCCATCATCCTCGCTACTGAGGAGGCCGGAGATTGAAGGCCAGCCTGGGCGGGGCAAAGGCCCGATGAGTCTGGTCTTGCAGGAAAAGGTGGACAGCGGTGGGTCGCAGGGCAAGATGAAGCCAGCCTCGAGGGGAAAAGGGAACGGACCGACCGAGCGCCGAGGCCCTGAGTTCAAGCTGCAGTTCTGGTAACAACCCCCCCC